TTTCCCTCCCTGGGAATGCTGGATTAGCTGTAAAGCATCATCCCGTACAATGTGCTAGCTTTGGGTTACATGATGTGGGAAAGAGCATCCCCTCTCTCTTCACAGTGATGTTGCAGGCTGGTGGGAGTCCTTCCCAAAGGATTTTGTGTGTTTGAGGGGACACTGGACAGGCCCTTGGAAGAGGATCACTGAATAAGGGGCCTTCATCAAGCTGAGAAACTCCTGAGCTGAGGCTAAATGCAGTTGCAGCCTAGGAAGGTGTTAAGGGGCATTATCAGCTTGATACTGCCGAGAACTTAGAATGTCCCCACGGCTGGAGATGGGATATTGAGCTGGCCAGATTTCAGGGCAGTTCATAGGGACCCCTCTGCAGAAACATCTACCTCCAGTAGCTGGCCTGGAGCACATTGAGGGTTTGTACCCCTGGGTGCAGAAGAGCCTGCACAGCACTGTCCTCCTTTCTAGTCTCAGCCACGCCGTCACACACAGAAAGACAGGCTTGTCACCTCCGAGCTCCCTTGGGTCCCAGCACAGCCCTGGGACAGAGCTGGAGCGATGCCACGGGGAGGTCCCCATCCCCTGGCTCATCCTTATCTCCGAGATAAGGCTGGTGCAGCCTCCCTGACGTCAGTCAGCACGGCAGCCAGGAATCCCCTGCACGAAGCCGCAGTGCCTTTGAAATCCTGCACAGCGTTTGGGAAGCCTCCGAGGCTGGGATCCAGGCACATCATTCCTTGCTTGCTTGCGGCATAGCCTCCGGGAACCCCCACCCGGGGAAACGTGACTGCCTTCAGAGCATCCACAACCCTCCGGAGCCGAAAACACAACCGGCCGGCTCCCATTACATTACGGCTGAGGTTTTTAAATAAACAGCGCTTGATGAGTGCAGCGGGATGTTTAATAAGAGCCTCCTCAGCCCCCCTTTTCACCCCCCGTTGCCCCCCTGCGTCCCGTAATCACTTGTAGAGGCAGCCCTACAATCTGCAGCCGGCGAGGGGAGAGGCAGCCAGGCAGAGTAATTTGTATTCCGGCTCTGCTGCTGCTCCTAGTGCTTCCAAGAAGCAAGTAAAAATAGCTCTCCGTCATTTTGTAAATAATAGCTATCTCCTCACAGGCCCAGGGAGTCACGAGCACTTTAAAAGGGAGATTGCGGGGAGCGGCGAGGAGGGGGAATGTCTGCCTTGAGCCAGGCCAGGAGGATGGGACATGGGGTCTCAGAGTGGGGGGCACAGGGGATGGCAGGTTAAATGGAAACCCTGAAGCACCTCTGCTGCTTTACACCTTCTGCAGGCACAAGGGAAGCCCCCAACCCTTCTGGCTCCGGGAGGCAGGATCTGGCCCTCCGCACAGAGCAAAAAAGGATGCTCGTTGCCTGCGCAAGCAGCTAGATCTGCTGGAGGAAATTCTTGGAGAAGGGGTGGCTTTTCAAGAGCAGGCAGGTGTAGGGAGTGCCATGGTAACACCGTGGGAAGGGATGTTACAGCTTTTGTTTTACATTTGCATTGCAGATGTGCCCAGCTGTGGGGGATTTACTGCAGGCAGGGAGGGGGCTTTGTACTGGGAGGGGGGAGAAGGGGCAGCTCTGATCGACCTGCAGCGCCTGGTTCCTGCTCACACACTTGCTCCAGATGGTTTTAGAACCACAGTTGTGCTGGAGCTTGTGAATAAGGTGAGCCTGTAAATGGGAAAAGCCCCCAGATGAGGAAATCAGCCTCAAACACGGCTAGAGAACATGGCATGCCACTCAGGTCTTGAAATTCTGCCCATGATCAAATGATGAACCTGAAAATCTCTTGCTCTTGTAGTTTTGTGACAGCTTCAGGGTCTCTTTTTGCTTTCCTGGTCCCCACATGGCAGAGGCTTGGGACACACAGGGTGCTTGTGCAGTGTGTCAAGAGCGATACCGAGCCCTCTTCTGGCACCAGCTCACGCCGTTCCCTAGGGTGGCCAGAGCTGGTCCTTGCTCCACTCCAGCCTCCTGCCTGGACTAAGCCTCTCCTTTTTTCTTTCCCCAACTATAAAACAGGACTGGCAGCATCCTCCTGCCACCTCAGCAGGCTTGAAGGCTCAGCTCACTTATGCATGTAAAAAAACTTTGAGTGATGGAAAAGAATGATGCTAGGAGAGGAAAAATGCCATTTAATGTTCTGCAACAGGTCTAGGGAAAGTCCCAAATCCTCTACGGTACAGTCCTTAATTATTAAATCTTTGGTGAGAAGGGGGCACGGCAGCCAAGCTGCAGTGTGAGCGTGCCTGCAGATGGAGGAGGAGGAGAGAAGGATTTCCCCACCGTGTCTCTGCGCGGAGGCAGGAGCTGCTGCCCTCTCAGCTTTCTCCTGCTGCAGAAGTAGATGCAGTTTCTTCTCGGTGAGGCTGTGGGTGGGTGGGTGTGAGGGTGAGGAGCGGGGAGGCTGGCTGAGCAGCTCCTGATTTCTCTGGAGGAGAAGGTCTCACCATCACAGAGCAAATGAGCTCAGGCAGGGTGGCAAGCAGCGTGGATGCTCACGGGCTGTAGGATCATTAAGGAAGAGACACTCTGAGGCTGGAGCTCACTCTGTTCTGCTGGTGTTTTACTTATTTCTGGGTTTCCCAGCTCTGCTGAAATCCCTGCTTGCGTAGCAATGGTTTAATTTCAGAAATCCTTCCGGATCCCAGCCAAATCCTGCCCTTAGGAGCACGTATTAACAGGGAAAGTTCAGCCTGGCTTTTGCCGTGAAAAGTGCAGGGAGCCCATTTTTTGAAGTGCTGGGGGACATCAATAAGCCAGGGACTGAGCCAGTCTGTCCTCTGTGCCCCCCCAGCTCATCCCTTGCACCGAGAGCTTCCTTGGAGGCACAAAGGGGACCCACCAAATTCAGTAGGTTCACGAGGTCTGGCCCAGAGGGTACATCTGGAAAGGGGGTTCCTCTTCAGACCTGGGCTGTAATTAATTATTAATATTAAAACATTATTCATATGAATAAATTAATGGTGTTTATTAATGCTATTATCTTTGGTTGGATTTGCCAGTAGATTGAGGGGTAGGAAGGGGTCTCTGGAGCTGTGGGACAGCCAGGGTGCAGCATGACAGGGTGATAAAGGCTCGTGTAAAGACAGCAGGATTGTATCAAACAGTGCCCAAACCTTGTTCTGCTTTTTTACCTCCTCATCACTTCCTGAGTCCCTTCCCTCGTGCTTGGACGCCAAGGGTCACATTGTAAACCATGGGTCCTTTCATGGAGCCCTGTCCCTCTGCCACCTCAGGTGCAAGGGACGATTCATTCTGCACCTCACAAGGACCAGTTTCACTGGCCCTGGGTGGCCATGGAGTCCTCCTCTGATAACCACAGCTGGAAATTATTTATCTTTGGCAAACTGGATGCTGGGGAGGGGAGGGAAGAGAGAGTTTGTGTTTTCTCTAAAACATAATTAGCTCTTTCTCGCCACATGTGTTAGCGGAAAGAGCCTCGCTTCACTGAATGTTCTCCGCTGTGTGTCTCATCTGGGGGCTTGTTTGGAAGGAGGCAGAGAAAATACCCCGAGTGTTTGAGTCTTACAGAAGTAACTCATTTTGTTCAGGATCCTGTCTTGTTGGCTTCTGGGTGTTTCAGAAAGTGTACCACATACATATTTCTCTTTAACCTTCTTTTTATCGCATCAAGACGAGATCAAGGGTTACTTATATAGCACAATAATATCAGCCACAGGCTGCATCAGAAGCTTTCTAGCCATAATAACTAAAGACATGTATACGTATATTTTAGCCATTAAGGAGAAAACCCTGCCAGAATGAATTATCTTATTTTTGGATGCAAAACTTTGAAGCACAAAACTAAGCTTCATAGTACTGCAAAATAACTGTCAGGGGACAGAAGGATTTCCATAACTGAATTGAGCAATGGGCCATCCAGGCTACTTGCAAAGCTGCTGCAGTGGCCAAAGTGGGGTACTACGCATAAAGAATGAACTCTGGGGATCTAAATTGCTTCTTTCATTGAAAAAGCAGCTCTGAGCCAGCTAATGCCATACAAAAGGAGCACAATGGCGTGATCTATCCCTAAAGTGGTGAGGATTTGTGGTAACGTAGTGCGAAACTCAAGGCACCTTCTCCATCATTTTTTTTCAGTACAATCAAGTGGATAGAGCTTGGGGCTGTGAATCTGGCAAATCCCTGTGCCTTGATTTCCCTGCAAAACAGGAGAGCAGCAGGGATTTCAAGTAGGAGACACACCAAAATTGTAATGAAGTCAAGAATGAGGGTTGCGTGTGCCGTTCAGCAGGAATAACACCTGCGGGTGGCTGTGTTCTGCAAAGCACTTTAATATATCTTTACCTGAAGGCACGTGATTAAGATTGCCCCTGGGTTTTAGCCCCCTGGGGCAGGAACTGGAGCTCTTTGCTGGGGCAGTGGGGCATCCATGAGGGCGGCGCAGCCTGGGATGCAGGCGAGCAGCACCTCTGCCAGAGCAGCCTCTCGCCAGGAGCGAGGCGCTTAAGAGACCAGCAAACGCAGTAAAAGGCAATCAGAATATTGATTCTTTTTTACGTACAGATAAGCCTGAAGCTGTAACAAACCCAGGGTTTCCTAAAACCGGCAGAACATTTGCTAGGCTGTTTATCAGGCCGGGAGACACAAAGGGATTTCAGATTAAAAGGAGTTTCAAAGCATCAGGGCTTACCCCTCTATTGAAAACACGTGGATTTGTACCGTGTGACGTATGGTGTGGCTGCATACATTTAGTAAATACAGTTGTCTGGCTGCACAGGACATATTCATCCTTGGTGTAAGCATGGAAAGCAGCGGAGCTCCATCAGAGATGAATTTGCCCAATTACGAGTGATAAAATCGGCCATTGTTCAGGGCACAGCAGAGAGCATGATGCCAACTTGCTGAGGGCTCACCAGGGAGGTGCCTGGCAGGAAAAGCCACCATGTAACAAAACCCAAACCTTTCTCTGTACAAGCAAATTTTGTTCTCTAATTGCCTTTTTTCCTTTTTTTTTTTTTTTCTCTATTCCCAGACAGCGTAACTGAAGTCAAGACAGACATTTACGTGACGAGTTTTGGCCCTGTCTCGGACACAGATATGGTAGGTGCCACTGGCTGGTTGCCTCATGGGGAGGGATGGCTTCTCCTGCAGCTGCAGTGGGCATTTCCCACCCTCATCCCTGGACAATCTGGGATTTTCCTGGATTGACAAGAACACAACGAAGCATCCCAGTTGCCTGTCCAGGCAGGAGTGTGCCTTGTCACCTTCTCAAAGGCTCGGTGTGGGTGGTGGACAGGGGTTGTTTCTCAGGTGAATTCAGGCTTTTAGAAACCAATTGATAATGGCAAATGCAACCTTGGAAGGTTGACACCTTTGCACTGCTCAAGCATGCTGCAGGCTTTCGTGGTTTTAGAGTCTTTTCCTTTCCTGAGAGTGCAACCTAATGAAATGAGGAGGTCTACCCATGGGACCAAGACCTGTACATAGCATGCTATACCTGTTACATACCTTCACAATCACCTTCACTGTAGCCAGCTTTCCTTGACCTGACTGTGCACGGAGAAAGGAGGGTGCTCCCTGGAAGAGGGGAGGATGCCAGAATCTGGCCTGTTTTGGTGGAAGTGCAAGGGGAGAAGGGTTCACCATCAGACTGTCCTTCATGCTTGAACCAGAAGGGAGGCGAAAGAGCAAAAAGAAAGAGCGAACTGATTGCAATATTTTGACATGTTCAGGGAAAATTATTAATGAAAAGGCCTGAGGTCTGAATTTAGGCTTGTATTCCCACAGCAGTTTGTCTTCTAATTAAAACAGGACTGTGGAGCATAATTAATAGTGAGCTTTCTCAACGGTGTTCCTTGCAGCTCGTATCCCGCATGCGGCCAGGCGCACGGAGGAGAGTTGGCTGTTATGGTTGCTCAGTACTTCCAGGGTGCCACACGGGGACAAGTCATTCCTGCGGGACTGAGACCCTCCTGCCCATCCAGTCCCAGGGGTGACCTGGTGCTGGCATAGCCCAGGCCAGCGGTGGGCAGCCCTGGCCTTGGAGGGAGCCTTCAGGAGAGGGAGCAGGCATCGCTCTCCCAACTTGGGTCAAGCAAGAGCAATGTCCTGTGGTTCTCCTGGCCCCTCTGGAGCTGGGAGGGTTTCATATTCTCTGTTTATGTGGCCATGAACAACTCTTCAGTTGCCCCACCAACAGCCCTGTGCTTGCAAGCGGAGGAGTTGTCTTATGAGGAGAGGCTGAGGGAACTGGGGTTATTCAGCCTGGAGAAGAGGAGGCTGAGGGGAGACCTTATCGCTCTCTACAACTACCTGAAAGGAGGGTGTAGAGAGATGGGGATCAGTCTCTTTTCTCAAGTCACAGGCGACAGGACAAGAGGAAATGGCCTCAAGTTGCGCCAGGGGAGGTTCAGGCTGGATATTAGGAAAAATTTTTTCACTGAAAGGGTTCTCAGCCATTGGAATGGGCTGCCCAGGGAGGTGGTTGAGGCACCATCCCTGGAGGTGTTCAAAAGAGGGGTTGATGTAGTGCTGGGAGGTATGGTTTAGTGATGATGCTCCTTGTTTGTTGTGTGGGTGTCTATTTTTGTCAGTTAGGTTGATCTTTAAGGTCCCTTCCAACCTAGAAGATTCTGTGTGATTTTGTGTGTGATTCTGTGTGAGTTGGGGGAGAATAAAATCTCTGTGTTTCAATAACGTGCCAGCCCCACCACGCAACCCCGTGACCACTCTTTCCAGGGTTAGAAGTTCGCTGGATGTCAGTGTAGCCAAGAGTACTAATCTCATTTGAGTTCCCTCTGTCTCGCTTGCTTTCCTACCGCAGCGGAGATCTATAATATATTCAGCAATCTTAGCCCTTGGGGAGTATCTGATAATTACTTCCAAGGTGGAGCATATTTGATTAAGGGAGCGTGTATAATGAACTGTGAAGAAGAAATATGAGGTATTGAAAAGAGGAAGGTATTCTCCGCGATGTGATTTGCCAAAATGAATTTAAAATTAGGGAGACAGTTAAAGAATAATAAATTATTTCCCCTCCGCGTGCGTTAGTTCCGTGTATTTTACAAATGCATAGCAAATGTGTTTTAACACGCTGTGCTGGCGCCGAACGCACTCGGGAGCGTGAGAGGGAGAAACCCCCATCTCCTTGGGAAGCGTGGGGAGAGCCTGCTCTTCTGTGGTGGTTCCTTTCATCTCGGGGAGCGGGGAAGTCCCTCCTTCCCCGCTCGCATCTGCCTGGTGATCACGCTCCCCTCCCTCCCACAGCTATTACTCACGGCCACGGAAAGCCGCTCCTGCGCATCTTGATGCAGACAGAGACTGTAATTATGATGATGGAGGAGAGGCAGGTAAAGCTGCTGTGGGAAGAGGAGGAGAGCAGCTGGTTACGAAGCACGGAGGAGGACATGTAGACCTTTTCCCGGAGATGCTCCAAGGGACTTCTAATCTCTCTTTCAGTTTGGTTTGGAAAGTAGAGCCTGATAGGACCTGACATACACCTGATTCTTCGGTAGTGAGCTCTTGCAGCTCTGCCTGTCCCTGGGAAACTGAAAAAAAAATAAAAAAACAAGAAGAAAAGAGCGGAAAAATCCGAACATGATTTTTCTTTTCTTCAGGAATGATTCCTTAGTGTAAAAGAAAAATGGGGCCAAGGAAGTTGTTATAAAAGTTTCACTTTTTTTTTTTTTTAATAGGAACAGGGAGTTGTGAATAAGATAGCTCTTCTCCCAGTAAGGAATTTTCCCAAAACTACCTCCTGGGGCTGCACATAGGTTCCTTTCTTTGGTTTTATCATTTTACTGAGCTTAAAACCACAAAGTGAAGATCACTTCCGTGAAGGAGCAGAATATCTTGTACAGGGAGCAGAGGATCTTCTCTTTTCTTCCCCCAGGCAGGCTCCAGAATCTTCACATATGAGCAGGAGTGGCCAGGGAGCAGGGATGAATTTCTTCACCGAGATGCTTTCATTCAGCTGCCATCTGCTGCAAAACCTGTAGGAATTTCTATGACCTATAGGAAACTGATGCGCAGCAGCTTTTAAATGCTGCTGAGAAGAGCTGCGGGAAAGAAATCACTCAGAATGATAAGTTTAGTTGGTCCTGCAGCCCGCAGGAACCCCATAAATAAAGACTATGAATCTGCAATGGCAGGGTAAGAACAGCTGGGACAGACAGATTTTCCAAAGCCCCCGTCTCTCTCTGAAAGCCTCGTGAGCTAATGAGATCCCTCATTAGCAAGAGGAGGTGTGTGTCGTAGAGGTGAGCAGTGATGCAGCTCATGCCGATGGGTTGAAGACTTTCCCTCAAGTGATGGGGACCCTCAGAGGACACGGGGTGGCTTAGGTCACAGGGAACAGCAGTCCCTTGGGCCAGACAAGAGGCAGGGTGATTTAATTTTGCCTTGGGATGGCCGTGGAGCCATCACTCCAAGCTTGGAAAGCTCCAAGCAGCCTTCTCTGCTTGGTCGGGTGGTTTCTGAGGCTGCACACACTGAGCGGGGAGCTGGTCTTGGCTTCAGGGTTTCAAAGAGATGACTTCTAATTGCCCCAGCTGGAACTTGGCCTAAGAAATGGGTTTCTACACCAGCTGAAAGAACAAAAAAGAAGAAAAAAAAAAAGAAAGGAAAAAATAGGAAAAAGGAAAAAGATGAAAAAGTAAATAAAGTCACAGGATCTCAAAAAAAAAGAAAGGAAAAAATAGGAAAAAGATGAAAAAGGAAATAAAGTCACAGGATCTTGTAATGCATGTTTGTGGGGTTCTTGATTCAATCCTTTTCTAGAGGTTCTAGGGAACAAAATAACATTAAGACAATGTCATGAAACTTAATTTCTTCCTTTTTTTTATGAGTAGGGGTGTAATGATTGGTATTCTGGCCAAATTCCATCTCCAGGAACTTTATTTTCGCTTTTTTTAAATTCCCATGTAGCTGCACACAATGGTTCCCTCCTCTGAAACACCTGGATGAAGGCGATGGTGCAGTAGGGCTACCCCAGGGCTGGCCACTGGCCGCTGTAGGCTGTATTGCAGCTTGTCTGTGGTGGTCAGAAACACTGAAACACCAATTTTGATGTCATATGTAAGTCATTACCATGTTTACCACCAAAATGTGGTAAATACCCTCTGTCCTCCACAGATTTCTCCACTGCTTTTAACCCCTGCTTCTTTTTGCATCACTCTTCATGTCAAACCAAGGTGTGCCAAAACATGGTATATGCTCAATGACTGAAGATATTTACTATTTCTGGAAGTGACTTGTTTGCAATGAAGACCTGAGTAAAACAACTTATTTTTCTCTCCTTTCTCCACAAAGGAATACACCATTGATGTCTTTTTCCGGCAATCCTGGAGAGATGAAAGGCTGAAGTTTGATGGTCCCATGAAAATACTTCCCCTGAACAACCTGCTGGCCAGTAAGATCTGGACCCCTGATACCTTCTTCCACAACGGGAAGAAATCTGTCGCCCACAACATGACAACACCCAACAAGCTGCTGCGCCTGGTGGACAATGGCACCCTCCTGTACACCATGAGGTAAGTTTGTGTCTCCTGGGCCAGGGTCTTCCAGGTCCTTAAGCTCATGCAGGGTTTGTGCAGACTTCCACCGACTCTGTTACACACTTGAGTCTTACCTGGTGCTTTCCCTGCTGTCCTTGTATCCTACCTATGTACCGTCACTGAATCTCAACTTAAGCAGATTTTTGTAGGGGTAGCTTTTTTTCTCATCATTCATGTTGGCTTTTTTCTTTGATGATGCACGTGATGAGGTAGAAGTGTTGGGATAGATAGTTTGTGGAGTTGGTGCACCACCCGTCTTATTTTTGTTCCTGACCTCTGATGGGATGTGAAGTCAGGTTTCCAGTATTAGTAGGGGAACGTTAGGATGGGAGAATTTGGTTTTCTCCAGCAGCTTGAGAACAGATCTAAATTTGTTCAGCACGTTACACTGGAGCTGTTTGAAACATCTAATGAGCCCAAGCTTGCTTCTGAGAACAATGGCGGCTTTTTCCTACTTCGTGGAATCAAAAATCTGAATCTGTGTAATCAATGCACATCATTAGGAAAAAAAAAATAATTACTAGCTTATCAAAACTGTGCTTTGGAGGTGTCAGGCTCGGAGAGGCCGTTGGAAGTTCCCAATTTAACCCAGCCCATGGTCTTCCCAGCTGAGGTCTCAGTGGGAGTCCTGAACGTGAGGTAGCCTGGCAGTGTGAGGGTGTTACAGCCTGTGCCACTCCACTGTGAGCTCCAGCATCTGGGGCCTCTTTCTAAAACATGAGTCGCTGTTGAGGAACCATGCTCGGGCAGTCATCTTCTCTGGATTTCTCAGGAACAGCCCTGGTACATACACTTATCACTGAGCTGCAACAGGTGTAGAACATGAAGAAAACCACCTTTAGGTTAATTTTATGTTCATTCTGGAACTATTCAGATATTCCTGTATGCTTGTAAGCTATTCAGCTACGTAAATAATGTTTGCCACCTGGGGCTGATGTACTAATTTGCCTTCTGAGGTAAATGGGCTTATAAATGAAACAACAAGCTACTCATAGATGCACAAGAATGACATTGAGTCGGTTTTGGAAAGGTGTAAATCACTTTGTTTTCAAAAATTATTTTCCCTGCCTCCACCTTCAATCTGATCCTAACTAATAACAGGCTCCTTTGTGGATTCCGTGTGCTGAGATGCTGCACTTTCACCTCTCTTTTTTGAGGACCAGGCAGAATTTCATCTCTTCGTAGTTAAGCTGGCTGTGAAGCTCTGTAGTGTCAGCAAGTTTTACAGCCTACGTTGATAAACAACGCTCTGCTTTTGTGCAGCGGTTCTCAAATATGAGCTAATTCTGCCAGTGCCCTTGGGGTTTAGGTCTCCACACTTCAGTGGTCTCACGTTACTGAGGCAGATGGGGTAAATGAAGGGAGAAGCCCAACTTGACTTAAGGGCTCGGTTCTGCTCCCAGCTCTCTGACCTGCATGTGGATGACTAACGCTCCCCCCGTTTGTATCACTGGCTGGCTGTAAAGTATTAGAGGAGTGCTGCACTTTCACCTCTCTTTTTTGAGGACCAGGCAGAATTTCATCTCTTCGTAGTTAAGCTGGCTGTGAAGCTCTGTAGTGTCAGCAAGTTTTACAGCCTACGTTGATAAACAACGCTCTGCTTTTGTGCAGCGGTTCTCAAATATGAGCTAATTCTGCCAGTGCCCTTGGGGTTTAGGTCTCCACACTTCAGTGGTCTCACGTTACTGAGGCAGATGGGGTAAATGAAGGGAGAAGCCCAACTTGACTTAAGGGCTCGGTTCTGCTCCCAGCTCTCTGACCTGCATGTGGATGACTAACACTCCCCCCGTTTGTATCACTGGCTGGCTGTAAAGTATTAGAGGAGCTGCTGGCATAAGACAGCTAAAAAAAAAAGGGACTCAATTTCAGGGCTTTTATGTAATTTCACTTCTTCTTTATTCAGCAGACAGCCATTAGCTTCAGCGAGTTTCGTGTGACTGAGAAAGTGTTGGATCTACTTTTCTGTTTAGGGCTGAGCAGGTGCCAGGATCATGAAGAAAAGGGAGTCATGGGATTTTTTAAATAAATTCAATGCATCCTTCAGTTTAGCTGTCTCCCAAAGAAGGGGGGGATGAAGGAGAGTCTGGACCTCCCTTTGTTTGTGCTCCTGTCCCCCTTAAATGTACCTCTAAGGCTTTGTAAGAGGTGTAGATCCCACTCAGAGATAACCAAGGGTTGAGGGTTGGATAATCTGGCCTTTTGTCACGTATTATATTGCTCAGTACCAGGAGGAGTGCATAGAGACCTTTTCCTTACCCAGCACAGATTGCTGCTGTGCAGATGTGTGTGAAGCTATCCTGGTGGGGTTCCAGGCAGCGTTGGACCAGCCTGACGCTGGAGATATGGTTAGAGCTGGCCAGATGTCCATCTGGAAAGCACTGCCCACTGCACAGGACAACATGTCAGGTGTAAAGCAGGGCTCCTCTGGGTTTCCATTGCAACACGTCCAGGGTGGGATGTCTGTCCCGGTCCATCTGATGATTGCTCTTCTCCCTGCTGCTGAAGAAAATGCCTGCTCAGAGCTCCACAGGGTCTTTTGAATGGGGCTTCAGAAAGGAAGACACAAGGGCACCAAGTGCATGGTCCAGGACTGTGCATCAGGCTGAGGCTCAGAGACTCTGCCACTCACACTACAATTCCCCTGTAAAATAATGATGATGGTATCACCCTCCCTTGTTAAGTGCTTTGAAACCTCCGTCCAGGAAAAGGCTGGAAGGAGATTCATGTTTTATGTCCAAGTAGCACATTCTCTGTTCTCCATGCCCTGGGGCATGCACATGTGTCCCTCTCAAAGAAGGAGCAGGACCATGAAGCCAATCTCAGCCCTGTGCAGCTGATGTCCAGCAAAGTGCAAATCCTAAGGAGGCATGCTGTCCTCCTCACTAGGGGAGTGAGTTTGCATCTCCACCAGATTTCTCCTGGACTGGCAGGGCTGCCCAGAGGATGCTTCACAGGCTCACTCTAGCCTGGGACATTGCCATGAAGTTTGACTCCCGAGACACCTCCTGCTCCTTTACCTTGTACCAGCCAATATCCTTGAGGGAGCAGCTCTGCTGATGCGCAATTAGAGGCACGTCTCTTGCTATTTGTCCTGCTGTGAAAGCCAACTTCTCTTAGTCAAGGCTTACATTTATAGATGAAGTTGCTCTGGTGGAACAGCAACTCTGACACATGCATCCAGCGAGATTACACCTGTGCGACAATATTTTATAGCTCCTGGAGAGAGCCTCTTCATCACTGACCTGAGATTCAAGGCGTTGCACACCAGCTGTAGCTGGGCGTCCAGAGATTTCCTTTAGTCACGGCACAGCCTCCTCACGCTGCAAACATCTCATCACTGCCTCGGACCTTGGCACCTGGGTGATGAGGTGGCCTTTGCCACCACAGCACAAAATCTCATTTCTCTATTCCCCTCCTTCTGGCTGCTGGGGAAGGGACAGGATTACTGATCCCTCCGCCTCTTCCCTGCTGCTCCAGCTGCCTTAGAGGGCACGGGGAGCACAGTTTTATTATGTAGCCCTGCCTCTGCAGCGTTGTTCGTGGAGCTCCTACAAGATTCAAGTAGTTCACAAAAGCCCGGCTGGGGCCTCAAAGCTCTGGTGTCAGAGCGGAGTACAACAAACTGGGAATTGTGTTTTACATAAGGTACGGACAAAAAAAAAACCCCGCAGCTGCTGCAGCGATCTCGGGATGTACTCGCTGCCTCGAATTGTGTGGGGCACATAGATAATGTTCTGGTTCTTCCTGGCCTTGAAGCGTATGAAAATAGGCACACCAGCTGTAGCTGGGCGTCCAGAGATTTCCTTTAGTCACGGCACAGCCTCCTCACGCTGCAAACATCTCATCACTGCCTCGGACCTTGGCACCTGGGTGATGAGGTGGCCTTTGCCACCACAGCACAAAATCTCATTTCTCTATTCCCCTCCTTCTGGCTGCTGGGGAAGGGACAGGATTACTGATCCCTCCGCCTCTTCCCTGCTGCTCCAGCTGCCTTAGAGGGCACGGGGAGCACAGTTTTATTATGTAGCCCTGCCTCTGCAGCGTTGTTCGTGGAGCTCCTACAAGATTCAAGTAGTTCACAAAAGCCCGGCTGGGGCCTCAAAGCTCTGGTGTCAGAGCGGAGTACAACAAACTGGGAATTGTGTTTTACATAAGGTACGGACAAAAAAAAAACCCCGCAGCTGCTGCAGCGATCTCGGGATGTACTCGAATTGTGTGGGGCACATAGATAATGTTCTGGTTCTTCCTGGCCTTGAAGCGTATGAAAATAGTGAAAGCTGAATGCTGTGCCGATGGGATTCAACTTTGTGAATCCAGGCTTTAAAGAGCTCTCTTGCTCTTCACAGGGACTGTCAGGAGTGGCATGTTGAGTCTTTGTGGTTATTGTCGGAGTGTTTTCCCAGACAATATGTGCTCAAGTTATGCACTTAAAGGATGTTTTCTTTAACTGCTGGGCTGATGCATTCAGCTGCATGCCCAAAGACTTCGCCTCAAGAACCCGTGTTGCTAAAGACAATGTGAAGCCCTTAGTGGCAGTGCACGAGCACTTGGGAGGGAGGATTGGTGAACCCCTGGGTGAGGCAGAGGCAGAACAAGAGGGAGAGTTGGGTACAAAAGCACCCAGGACACGTGCGGTCCTACCAGGGCTGTTGAACCCCATAGAACAAGTCCTGGTACCTACTGCAGCATCTTCAGGGGCTCGAGCTTACCTGGCTGCTTTTTGAAATCACAGAGCTCCGCAGTGTCTCTCCCATCAAAGGTTTTGGGTTGTCTTTATTGGTTGGGGTTTTTTTAACCCCTGGGCAACTTGTGCGAGCTGTAGGCTGGTGCTTGCAGCATCCTTCCACACAATGGAGGTGCACCGTCGCTCTCCTTTCTGCAAGAGCAGCAGCTGGGGCATCCCAGCACCAGCTCCTCTGGGTGGTACGGGCTAGCAGCTCTTTGGCTGCATCCCACGTCAGGGCTGGTCCTAGACA